GTTTTAATTTGTTTTAGTCAATTTTATTGTGGTTTTAACCTTCTGTATGCTTTAGATATTTCAGGGATAATTTTATTGTTTTATCTTTTTTGTAAGCCACTTTGAGGTTTTTTCTACCATCCATTGGAATATAAATTTTATGAATAAAATGAAATAAATAAAACATCTGCTTTGCATGTAGGAGGTCTCAAGTTCAACCTCAAGTTCAATCTCCAGGTAGGTCTGGGAGAGAGGCCTGTCTGAAACCCTGGAGAGCTGCTGCCTGTCCGTGCAGACAATACTGAACTAGGTGGATCACCAATTACCACTAAATATGAAATATCAACAACTCGGATTTGGATTTGTTCATTTGTATCTAGTCACCAGACCATCACACAACAAAGCTCATTGATTCAATAACATGTATATATTTAGCAAATATTTTTTGCAAAGCTGGAGAATATTCACAGCATATTCTGAGGGTGTTTTACAGCGGATTTTGGAAAGACAATCTTTGGCGGACAAATTCATTATGGAAGTTTGACATCAAATGCTGTGCCTCAACATGCAGTCATGAAATTCCTCCACCCACTTGACCCTCCAAAATGATGTCTCATCGCAAAAGCCAAGAAAGGAGGACGTTACAAATAAAAGAGAAAAGAACTGTCAAGTCCATGATTCTCTTGAAAAGATTCCTTCTGACTTTGGACATCTGGAAGCTTTGGCAGCCCAGCTAAAATTTCCAGCCAGACAGCAGTGTTGGAGTAGTGTCAGGATGGAACAAAGGCATGGGATGAGGGCCTTCAGAAGTGTGTGTATGTTTGGCAATGTGTTTCATGAGTGTACTGAAACACTGGTAGGGCTCAAAGGTTTAGTCAATTAAAGAGGGTGTTCTCAGCAATGGCACTGCGGGAAAGTTGCCTTATCCTGAACCAGACCATTAGCCCATGTAGCTAGTATTGTCACTCTTCACTGACTGGTGGTGACTCCCCAAGGTTTTCAGACCAGGCGTCATTTCCACCCCACCTCAGGTTGAACCTGAGACCTTGTGCATACAAAGGAGGAGCTCTACCACGGAGTTATGTGTGTGTTTAATGACTGCTACTATTGTGAAAACGCTAATTGCAGGGGTTTGACATAGGAGGCTGCCTTATCCTGAGTCAGACTATTGGTCCACCTGGCCCAGTATTTTCTGTACTGGTAGAGGCTTTCCAGAGCTTCAGGCAGGGGTCTGTCTTAGTGATAGCCATTAACATGATGCAAGGTGTGGGAATGCAAAGTTTCAGCACCAGAATTTGGGGTAAGGTAGAGTAAGCGGTTGAAAGACAGGAGTGCCTGGCGTGCTCTGGTCCATGGGGTCACAAAGAGTCGGACATGACTAAACAACTAAACAACAACAAAAGAGTAAGCGGTGGAGGCAGGGGAGGGAATTCAAGATGGGGACTAGTTTTGCCAGGAGTTTTATACTTATTGATTCCATGCAGTAGTTGTCATAAATAGATCAGGACATGTGATTTGCAGAACAGCTTTATGTGTCCATCAATACCTGAGCATCTTTATTCCTACCTGTGAGTAAGAGAACGGCAACAAATCCAGCTCCCAAGTCAGAATAAATCCCGGCTGGCATTAAAGTATTGCTCTTCACATCTTATAGCACAGCAAAGTAAAATAAACAAAAATAATATAAAATATTTGCATGGTAAACTTAATTACACAGAGGAAAGCTGCAAATTACAAGCATTTTCTGAGTGTTATCAGAATGGAAGAGCCTTAGTTCAAGTCATATGTGATTTAAATCTTGAAAAAGTCTTGTTGAGGTGTCTTTTGTTTGCTTTTGTTTTTCTATCTTCTTTGTCTTCTTAACGGGAACATCAAAACTCTGAAGACTAACTTCACTAAATCAAAATGAGTGTCCTCTAAATAATTGGGAACGTTATTGGCTTCTATTGATTTAACAATACCTTTTTGTCGTTGCGGAACTTCATCTTGGAAGTTGTGATACTGGCATGAATAAGAAAGAGGAGGCATTGCGACGGAATGAGATGTACCTAACCATTTTTCACTTTAGAAAGGGAGTCGTATTCCGTCAATGAGATATTACTAACATAACTCAATCTTCCCAGAGAGATAAAATAAAATTAAAACCATAGCAAATTAAGGATATGGGTAGCCTGAGCCATCAATCTTTTTGCAGCTCAACGATGGAGTGCCATCCATTTTAAGTCTAAAACATAATGTGAGGGACACAGGGATCAAGTGCCTTAAGGACCGTAGCTCTGTGGTGGAGCATCTGCTTTGCATGCAGAAGGTCTAAGGTTCAGTTCCCAGCCCTCCAAGTAGGGAAAGACACCTGCCTGAAACCTTGGTGATCCACTGCCAAACAGAGTAGACCAATGTTCTTCAATCTTGGGTTCCTAGATGTTGTTGGCCATCATCTCTGACCAGTGGCTAATATAGGTCCTGCTTCCATGCTTCTTGTAGGCATTTGGTTGGACATTGTGAGAGTGGCCTTTGTGCATTCAAAGTTGGGGCATATTTGCCCTTTCACAGATGACTCAGGAGCTCTTAGATGCTCCCAAGGGAGGAGGTGAAAGGGGTCATATGGGGCCTAATGGCTAATAGGGAAGTTCCTCTTCACTGGGTTAAATAACCCTCCCTTCCTACACATATGCAGTGTGGGCTTTGGCCAGACTGTTGAACAGACTAAGTCAAAAAAATTTGAGGTGTGACTCCTTGATTGGCCTTAGGATCTCCATGTTTTTCACTTATTTCACACTGCTGGGACTGATTTGTGCTGGGGTGGTCTGGTAGCCTGTGAGGGCACTGAATATGGGTAGGTAAGAATGCAGGTGAGAAGATAGTTGGGAAACAGGCATTATTGGATGCCCTTTGGGGATGTGCCAGTGCTTTATGCCTCAGGGGACTTGGAGGTGCCCTTCAGGCCTAGCATGTGGATTTTGAGTGAACACTGGACAACAGAGCCTGGGTGCGTATGTTGGTTCATAAGACCAAGGCTCTGCTATCAAGGAGGGAGTCATCTCATCCCAATCCTTAACCGAGGAGCCACAGTTTATGGCTGTGCTCTGCTAGATCCACCTTTTGTGCCTGTAGCACATGCCCAGGGGACTGAGGCGGATGCTTCCCTAACTGGATTATATAAACCCTTACTTTCTTGCACTTCTTTGCATTTGGTACATTGGGTTTATGTTGGTTTGCAGTTTCTCCAAACTGTTATATTTTAATAAATATAACCTTCATTCCAGCTCTTTCTCATGAGTGCTATTTTCAGGTGCTTTCCTGAATCAACTGTCCTGGCTCTTGCTGGCTGAAGAACTCAGACTCAGATTATGGTTGCTGTCCAAACCTTTCATGCTCAGGTCAGTACGGTATGGAGGCAACCCTTAAGGCCCCACAGGCGATCTGTATGGCTGAGTAAGCTGTTGTCCCAATGAGCGACGTGCCCCTTCCCTTACTGCTTCCTTTAAAAGAGAAGGATGGGCACAGCTTTAGTGTCGCAAGCGTGTGGAATCCTTGCAGGCAAACAGGCACTCTTTCAAGTGGGCTGGCCCAGTGTTACCTGTTTACACTGGTGCTGGCATCTTTATGTCCTAGGAGGTTGAGGATGAGACAGTGCTGTTTCAGAACCAGATCTGTCATCCAGAGCCTCCTCTGAGGGTACGGGTTCACTGACAGGAGGAGCCACTGGAGGGGTCTGACTGGGAGTGTGCAACAGCATAAGGGTGTATCTCTTTCCCAACAACCCACTTGGCTGCCCCTTGGGTCCTGCTCTGTGCCTTCAGGGCTTATTGTCACTTCCTTGCTTGGCTCCAAGGCTTCCCAGAAGCCTGATGAAGCTCCTCTTAGTCTGCCAGGAATCACCCTGGGACCACCAGATTCTAGCTTTTCCAGCTGCTCCCACCCACCATCTTGACCCAATTATCACCTCCAGGCCATCTCCACAAGGCTCAGGACAATAGTAAATGGGCCAAAACATAGGCATCCTTTGATAGGTGCATGTCTCTGAATTTTGCGATGTCATTCTACAAAGTAACAAAATGCATGCATCAGTGACTGCGCAAATTATATACTAAGAAGCTGCTTTTAGTGAACATGATGTTAAAGATGCTTTATGTTAGGGAAACTGCTTGCAAGAATGTGTGTGTTTGGTAAAATAGCACACAAAAATGTGTATATTAGGAGAAAAAGGCACACTAAAATGCTGACACATTTTCCTGAGGACTTAAAAACAAACTGGTCACAAACCAAAATGGAAATGTGGAGAACTAAGACTGGAAAAAATGAGAAACTGAGAGAAACAGAAATTGACAAATTCTTCCATCCTCACCGGAAAGAGATGCAGAAGAATTTACAAATGTCTATTTAATGTTTTTGGACTTCTGGGCTCTCTGTCCACTTTCCCAAGATCCAATTATGTAATGGATCCTTGGGAAGAGTTGTGGTGGCGGTGAGAGAATCGCATCTATCCAGTGTTATGATGCTGGTTCCTGGGTCCTGCTTCTCTAGACTCAGAGGACTTATTAGCATCTTTGAAAGCTGTTTGAAAGCTGTTTGAGGTGAGTGTCTGGCAGAGATATTGGGTTGAAAATAATGGGATACAGCAGCAAGTGACTCACTCGGAATGAGGAAGCAAGACAGAGCGAAGGCCGTCCCTTGAAAGTATGTGACAAGATTAGGTTGGCATGCATTTGTATTACAGAGATAGGAGATACATGTGGAATCAGCATACGGCTTTCTTTGGAATTTATCTGCTGCACTGGACCGCAAAGTCAGCAGTTTAAATTAGACCCCAGAGGCTCAAGCAGGGAAGCTGCACTGCAAGAGCAAACTGGTTTTGTTCTCTGACAAAATGACCGATACTTGCTCTTCTCCATTTTGTAACCCCATTATCTCACAATTAAATTTTAAACATTGCCTTCCTGAAGGATGCCTTTATTTGGTGGAGGAGAATCTTCAGAGTTTTGTGTTTGGGTTTTTCTACTCCAGCTTGAACAGAACAGGGAAGGGATGTAGCTTGGTGGTAGAGCACCTGCTTTGCATCCAGAAGGTCTCCGGTTCAATCCCCAGCAACTCCAGTTAGTGCTGGAGAGACATCTGCTTAAAATCCTAGAGAGCCACTACCAGTCAGTGTAGATGACACAGAGGTAGATAGATCAATGGTCTCACATGGTATAAGGCAGCTTTCTTTGCTACTATGAACACTTCTGCCCAGGTTCAATATCAGAACTGATTATGATTGATTTTTGAATCAATTAGGTCTACAGTGTCAGTTCCTTGCTATTGAACCCATCCTAGAGCTTGGAAAATTCATTTACATTAATGACCCTCTCCACCTATCCCTCTGGCCCCACCTACCACTAGTATGTGGCCCCCAGGAATGGAGTTGCTTGACCTACATTGTAAGGAGACCAGAGGTGTCCAGAAGTCTGATTTGGTACCAGACACCTCCTGACTGATTCTGGTAGGCTGGAGAGCTCTGTGACTGTAGCTCTTTTAACATCTCATGCTGCTGTCTCCAGTAAATTCTCCAGGAACTCCCTGCCTGCATCATCGACCCTGTTCCAGAAGAATTTATCCAAATGCTTATTTTATTGCAGTTGAATCAAGGCAACTCCAGCAGAAATCAGGAGCATTTAATTAATCCGAAACCAAGCAGGATTTAGGGATTGTTGTTGCTCAGAATGGCTTGTGAAAGGTGATGTTAATATTGACGTGAATTAATTGTAGTCTTAATGCAACATTATCATCAATGGCTGGTTGGCTTAGAAGCTCCCAGCTATGCATTGTACAATTTAACTGCGTTTTGTTTTTTTAAAAAAAATAAAAAATACCAGAACATTTTCAATCACTTTCCCCCATGAAAAAGTGCATTCAATTTATATTACATGGTTGCAAAAAGGGAAAGAAAGGCAAAAAGCAACAACAACTCCAAATTAATCACCATAGGGATTGATGAAAAATGAAATCCCAATTTAATGACAAGATTTAGTTCATTATTTATGTCCCAGCATGTAAATTATAGATTGTCATGAATTTTACATGCTTCCAGTGCCTGTTACTTAATTCAGGCAAAAAGCAATAAGTTGCCATTGTAAAGAGCAAGGTCCCCCAGCCTGTGTACACGGCACTCCTCCTCCACCTTGTGATGGACTATAATCTGTCAAAATGAAAAATTAATGGAGGCTTCCTTAATTCATCATCTTCTTCTTCAGCTGTTCTATTAACTTAAAAACAACAACACCCACAACCCTCTAACATATGGAGGAGATTGGTGGCAGTGAAGAGAGAGCAAAAGTGCTCTCTCTCTCTGGAAATCAAGCAGATCAGGCGACTCTTTTGGCTTTGAGCTGGAGTTGAACCGATGAACAGGTGGTGTGCTTTGTTCACTAGAGGTAACCGGCATTCAGAGCACTATTGACTGCCTCCCAGTGTACTCCATCACCCACATCCCCAGGAGCATTCTCACCAGTGGTTCTAGGGATGGTGACGTGCTATCAGATGGGGTGTCACAAGGCAGGGGGTTGGACTCGATGGCCCTTGTGGTCTCTTCCAACTCTATGATTCTATGAAGATTGGCACTGAGGAGTTACCAGAGGTGCAGTTAGGTAATTTATTTATTTATTTCTGTGGGTTGTAATCCACTGGAGCAGTCAAGTACAACATTACCTGTTTGGCTAAAGTGGACATGCAGGAGAATGTTGGTCCAGCCAGTTTGAACATCCTTTTACACCTGGCTGGGGCATCCTTTCCTTTGCATGTGACCAGTAGGTGGGCGTGACCTTTCCAGATCTGGCAAAAAGGCCAAGTCACGTAGCCACCTCCCTCTCTTCTTCTTTTTCATCCTGCCTGCTTCCTGCTTCACCTGGACTGCACTGCTGGCTCTCAGCCAGCAGTCCCTGGGTTATCTCCCATATGGGGTAAACCTATTTCTATGTATTTGTAACTTTAAGCCTAAAGCCTGCCTTCAGGGATCACACTTATGAATAAGACTGTTGCGTCTTTATTCTTTTGGGAGGGATTCAAGGGGTCTTACCAGGAACATATCCCAATCTGGGCAAGCCAGATTGAATTGCTTATTATCTTCAGAGATTCTAACGAAACTGCAACCAGCTTCCTGATGTGTAATGAAGGAAGGATAATATTAATCGATATATCCTCTCCTGTTACCCACAACATTCCCACAATTTCTCATTGAGCCCCCCTCCCCCACAAAGCCCAGGGCAGCAAACAGACGACAGTTCTTTTTTTAAAAAAATCCAAAGCAGATTAAAACATTAAAAAACCAATGGCAATGAAAAACATCTAAAAGCGGTATCAGTTTCAAAACATTACAAAAGCAATTGCAGTTAAAAAACATCCTTCCATCCAATGATCTTCTGGTTGCCAGGAACAATATTCTCCAACTATCAAATGCCTGGGTGAATTTATCCTGAGAGTTAATGATGATAGAGACAGGCGCACCTTGCTAGGGAGGGTATTCCATAACCAGGGAATCACCACTGAAAAGGCCCTGCTACTGTTCAGCGCCAACTGGGCAGCCCTGATTAGAGTCTCTGGTCTTCATGGTTTTGTAGGGTAGCAATGCTGGCTTCTGTTAATGGCAATGTGAAGAGGTGTGTGTGAATCTGAACTTATGAGATGGTTTATCTCATAAATAGATCATGGCATAGGTATAAGATTGGCAGAACTCTAATATGACAGGAGACCCTCCATGATGAACCTTGTTGATGCTGGCAGAAACCTCCTGAAAGGCATTGAGGAATTTCCTGACTACACATACATCTGACCTAAAGATTAACACGTGCAAATTCAGTTGTCAAGTACAGGATACTCAACTCAGTGGGATCCATCCGCACAGTTATAAGGTGATTTGAAGGCAGATAGCAGACAGGGATGCTCACTATCACAAGTCTTTCACCCTTTTGTTAAGCAAATATGATGGCCAGTTTTAACCATTTCTTACTAAGATGGGTGAGGTGAGAGCTAGGCAGGAAATTCTGGGAGGAACTATGGAAATTGTAGAAATCACTCAGTTCACAGTCCTCTCTCCTCTGGCTTCCTTGGCAAAAAGGTATGAAAAATGCAAAGCTTTAGTTAGCTCTCCTAGCTCCAACAGGACAGAACATACCCAGCACTACCCAGGACTCAGCACACTTCTGCTTCGCATGATCTCCTGGCCCCGCTCCACTTTTCGTGTGGGTTTATGGCAAAATTGTCATGCCCACATTTCTGTAGGCCTCATAAAATAGTTAGGGAATCATTTGAGGTTCAGGTGGCCTTGGTGGCATGGAGTGCCTACCATCAGCTCTGGCTGGTGGCCCAGCTGCACCCCTATCTGGGCAGGGATAGCTCAACTTCTGTTGTCTACATTCTGGTAACATCTAGGTTAGATTACTGCAGTGCATTATATGTAGGGCTGCCTTTGGAGGTGGTTCAGAAACTTCACCTGGTCAGAATTCAGTGGCCAGTTAGCTCACCAGGGCAAGATGGTTTGAGCATATTATGCCAATATAAACCCAACTGCACCAGCTGCCAATGGGAGTTTTCTGTAGTGGCTCCTTGTTTGTGGAATGTTCTCCCCAGGAGTCTCGTCTGGTGCCTTCATTATACATCTTTGGACAACAGGTGAAACCTTTTCTCTTCCACCAGGTTTTTGGCTGATTAACATTTGATGTCCTTTGAAATATGTTTGTGGGAGGGGGTGTTGTGGGTTTATTATTATTAATAATTTTGTATTCCAAATCTGTATTTTTGTGCCGTGAACCATCCTAAGACCTTTGGATGAAGGGCAGTATACAAGTCAAATAAATAAAAAAATTAATTAATTCTGGGTAGGTCTGAATCATGGCACGAAGCCAACAAGGGCAACCTACAAAGTGACATAAGAAAGTTACAGCCCTGAGAAGTTTATAATCCTGCCCACTTGGGTCAAGGATGTCCCCCTCCTCAGCATTTGGGAAGCTAGTGTGTTACTTCTGCTTTCATTCTACCCCCCCTCCAATCCTTTATGTCCCTCCCGCCTTGATCGAGCATGAAATCCTTCAGGCACCTAAAAATTATCATGCTGCTCAGCCTCTTCAGGTCAAAGATTAAAATATAGTGTGGCTCTTTGTATAGGATTCTGGGAATGGATGCAATGCTTCAGGCATGTTGCTTTGAATTGAGGTATTAGTCCGCTGCCAGTACAGAAAGATGAAGTTTGTGTGTGTGTGTTGGGGAGAGAACCTTGCCTGGCTAGTTAAATAGAGGGTGGCTGTTCTCAATGGTCAATGTTGCAGTGAAATTACTGTTTTAAAAAATAGCAACTGATATTGAACTTTGCTGCAACATCTTCTGATACCTCTAGGCTGCAATTCTCTCCTCACCTCAATAACCTTGTTACACCTGCTGGTTTCAAATATTAGCAATTTCGGAATCGTCTCGGCAAGCTATTTTCCATGCGCTCGACTCTCTTATTCTGCATGTTCCTCAGACATGGTGGGAAATTGCTTTTGCAGCCGTCTGCTTAAAAGTCCAAGTCATTGGGATGCAGGTTACTCAAGGCTTGGGAAATTTCCTTGATTATATCTGGGGGATGGCTTCGGGGAGTGGCACGTTTTTGAACGTGAGGTGTGTGATCAAATCGAGGAGGCAGATACCGGGGACTGTGTTGAGGGAGAAGGCGTTTGTGCATCTTTCTCTCCCATATCCTCCCATCAATCACATGGTATCACAGTAATGTCAGGTGACCCGTTTCTGCAGAGGTCAGCTGATTGTCAGCCCTTCTATGCACAGTTGATCAACTGCTCATCAACACTTGCAGGGAGGAGGCCCCAATGAACAGCTGACCATGGCGGCTTGCAAGGGGTGCTGTGCGAGCCTCAACATCAGGTGCAGGTTCAGTGGGCTCAGCTTGGCTAAAATGGCCTCATGGGCCAAATGAGGAGACCTGGTAGATTGTGCTGGTCCCCTGGGTTTCCGTGAGGCATGGTCCGAGCCCAGTCCGAGGTCGAGGGTGCAGTATTGAGGCCGTCCGTCAAAGCTGAAGCTGGGTCCAAGGCAGGGAGTCGGGTGAGGTCAGGAGATCCATCAGGACAGGGTGCAGGCAGGAACTGGCTACCAACAACGTTGCTCCCACAAATTGGGACTCGGGCTGGCTGGCTTTTATCTGCACCCTATGGGGTGGCCCCAGTCCACAGGTGACTTGCCTCTCCTGGCTTGGAGGCGGGCACTCCTCCTGCGGGAACTTAGTTTCCTCCGCCTCTCTGCCCTGAGCCTCTGCAGCTCAGGAGAGGCTGGAGGGTTACCGGACCCAGAGGCAACCTCAGCTTCCCCTGACGGGGCTGGGAGTGGAGCACCTGCAGACAATTGGTCCTCCATCACCTCAGGAGCCAGAGCAGACTCAGCTGGTGCCTGCACCTGAGGATCCAGCACAGGTGAGGACCCTTCAGGCTCAAGTTCCAGCCCCGGCTCCACTGGTTCTGGGGGTGGGGAATCCTGTGCAGGCTGGGATTCCTCAGGTTCAGCCTCCGAATCCGAATCCCAGGCCATCACATAGATGTAACAATGTCCATGGCTCCCCACCACTTCCTTTAAGGCAACAGGCATTGTCTCCAAAGAATATCACACCTAGTTACTGGGAGAAAAGCAACTCCTTGTTACAACAGCTCCACTTACTACTAGTCTGTTTCTGGGCACAGCTCAAAACACTGGTTGTGACCTACGGCTTCGACTCAGGCTGTTGGGGAGCAGGGGGCAGTCAGGAATGGGGAACCATAGGCTTGGATGCCAAATATGGCCATCCAGCACCCTGAGGAGGAATGGTGGGAGGGCCCCCCTCATTTTTCTCAACCTTCCCAAGGGCAGGAGGACAATATTGATTTAGAACAGTGGTTTGCAGAGGGACATAGTCCAGAGTGGAAAAGCTGGGAAATACTAGGTGAGGAAAAGCTTGAAGAGGAAACAACAGGAGAGAGACAGCTGGCAGATTCAGTGTCCTTGAAAAGCATTCCAGACCCGCCTTCACCTAAGACTAGACGGGGTCTGAGAGTGATAGAACAGAAAGCACAGTGGCAGCAAGCTCAGATTACCTGGTGTTAGAGTGACATAGATTAATGGAGACAGAGGGGGTAAACCTTTACTGGGAGCAACACCATTTTTAAAGAGATATGCATTCCTTTGTCTCTCACTGTGATTATTAAAGAAACCATCTGGTAAGAACTCTCCTTTCATTTTATCTGCTTATTTACTGCCACCGGGGGAGAGATCTGATTCCCTGAAGCCTGACATGCTGCACACTTTCATAATCCACACCCTGCCCCTGCCCTACTTTGCACCCTCCTTGAGTGTTTTTGCCTGGCTGGGATGTGTCCTTGAATGTTCATAATACCTCTTGACTGTCTGGATGGAGGACAGATTGGTGTGTGGGTGTGAATGTGTAGAAACCTGTATAAAAGCTAGATATGCTTTGCTTACTTTGGCCCCATCCACAAAGCATACCCTCCAACACCCTGGGAGGGCAAATTGAGGCACGACCTCCCCACACCGTCCCACAGCCAGCCATACCTACACACCTTGCCCTCCCCCCTGCTGCTTTCCCCTGCCCTATCCCGTCACTGGCTGCCCTTATGCAAGTGTGAACTGGCTTCCAGAAGTATGTCAGAGGAAGTGGTGGCTATGGTGGCAGTGGAAGCCACGGCGGAGGCAGACGGAGCCAAAATGGGACATCCATGATTGGCATCAGAAGCTGCGGGGGCTTCTGCAGTGGAATGTCCCACTCAAAACAGGGTGGTTGCACTGTATGATAGTTGTGGGCTTGTGGCCCCTGGAAGGCTGCCCAGAATGGAATGTGGCCCTCAAGGTGAAAACATTTTCCCAACCCTTACTGTTGTAATGCTAACAACAACAACAGGAACAACAACAACAGGAACAATTTTATACCCCACCCATCTGACTGGGTTGCCTCAGCTACTCTGGGTGGTTTCCAACAGAAATACTGTAAATATTGTAGCATCCAGAAAAGGGACACTTTTTGTCTTGTGGTCAGGATCAACAACATATGTATTTTATTTTATTTATTAAAAAGGGAAATCAGAAGAAAAGTATTAGAACTCCAAAGCACCTGATTTTGAAATAAATCGCCTTTGTGGAATGATATCTTATCTAGCCTCTCCCCCCCCCCCCCAAAAATAATAATGAGCTTGTCAAATAGGCAATATCAACACTCATGGATGCCCCCAGTGACAGCTTTTTATCCCAGATACAAAAATATAAAGAAGAAAAATATTTTCTGAAGAGAAGGAAGAAACCGCAGATATTTAATCTGTACGGAACAAAAAAGAGAGAGAGCTAGTTTTCACTTGTTATATTGTTGTGTGTGTTTGTGCAAAAATAACCACAGAGGAAAACATTTTTGTCGGAATGCTTTGAACATGGAAGCAATTTTGACAGAAATCAAGCAAGATATAATTTATCCCTAAAGGAATTTTCCCTTCTGCAAGAGATGCTGGAATCATTTCTTGTTAAATTGTGTTTTTAAAGGGATACCTTAAGGCAGTGGGGCAGCCAGTGTGGTAGCTTCCAAAAGTTGGTGGACTACAACTCCCATCAGCTCCAGCCAGGTTGGTCAATGGTCAGGGATGATGGGAGTTGTAGTCCCAGCAACAGCTGGGGGCAACCATGCTGCTGTCCCCTGTTTTAAGGACCCAAGCCTAATACAGAATATATTTTGGCTAAGCAGTTAGAATATTGGGAGGAAGCCCCATTATATCAACGGAACATGAGATTCCTGATACGCTGGTGTAACACACCTAAATGTGGACTTTGCTAGCTTCACTTGCTATTTTCACCATAGAGACATGAGTAGTTGCATAATGCCAATGCAGACCATTGGTTAATCTAGGTCAGTCTTATATACACTGACTGACACCTCAGGATTTCAGGGAGGGAACATTCCCAGTCATACCTGGAGATGCTGAGGATTGAACCTGCTGCCTTTGGACTGGATGCCCCCTGGGATCCCATTCCAAGTCTACAATTCTATGATTCCACATGCAAAGTGGATGCCCTACCACTGAGCAGCGCTACTTCCCTTTAGGAACATTTAGCTCAGTATTGTCTAGGCTGGCTGGTAGCGGCTCTCTGGGATTTCTTACAGAGCTCCTACCTGGAGATGCCAGGACTTGAACCTGGAACCTGCATGTAAAGCAGGTGCTCTGCCGCCAAGCCACACAGAAGTCTGCCTGATTCCAAGTTGGGTGCTTGGTTCATCTAGGTTAGTATTGTCAGCACTGACTGGCAGCAACTCTCTGTGGTTTTGGACAGGGGTCCCTCCTTGTCCTACCTGGAGTGTTGAGGGATTGAACCTGGGACCTTCTGCAAGCAAAACAGATGCTCCACCACTGAGCCATATTCATAATTAAGAAATCTGCTACCAGCTTGGTCTGGTTCTGTACATGGAATGGGTGTGGAGAGCATCTTCTTTAGTCTCAGGCAGTCTCGGCCCAGTCCTGTATTTCCATGTACAGCAGAAACTTATGTAGGAACAGACTTTAGTATGTATAACATGTTTCAGAAGTCTCTGGTTGTTAATAAATGAGGCATATATAGATACAAAGAAAGCATAACGAAAAACTCTTAAACTATATGCTTTTTTGGTGATTTAATCTTGAATATACATCCTTTAAACCATGTTGATTTAAAATCTCAATAGAAAATCAATATTCTAAGAGCTTGTTATGAAATTGTATTTTGTTTTGGTTGGGAAAAGACAGAGATTCAAAGGAAATCTTTTCTTGTTTTTCTGTTTCTAAATCCCCCAGACATTGAGATGTCTTTTGTTTTCAGACCTGAATGTGAAATTCTTCTGCTAATGGGCATGGGAACCCAAAGATCTTTCTTTGCTAAACCTTTACCAAAATGTTCTCCCCCGATAATCTGTTCCGTTTATGGGATTCTTCCCTCCTCCCACTCCCCGTGACCTTTCTTTCACAATTGCCAACTGAGGCAACTGGCACATCTCTTGCATCTGCATAACTGCCGGAACATAGATAATTACTTGTAGAGTTTTTGTCTGTTTCAGGAGGCGGGTGGGAGAGGGAAATGTATAATGAAGTCAGAAACCACAGGTACGCATACATCTTGCTAAGCCAAAAAGGTTCCTAGCATAACCATTAAGCGGGGAAAAGTACGCTGGGGAAATCAGGAGTCTGGCAAAATAAAAGTGGCAGAATGAATGAATAACCTTTACTCTGGTCGGGGTTATTCTGGGGCTGCTGTCTGATGGAGAACGAGGAGCAGTGAAAGGCAGGATAGTATCCAGTTCCCTGTCTCTGGGAGTGTCGATTATCCTTTCTTGAGCTCCAGGAATAGACAGAAAGATTGACAACACCTTCCAGAGGACTTGCTGTGTTAGTTTACAACAAACACAGGAGTAAGTTGGCACAGGAAGGAATTGGGCACCTTAAAGACTAACATGGTTTTTTTTAATGGCATAAGATTTTGTGGACTGGAGAGGCACAGGTGGATCTCTGAGGATAGAGGGGGAGGGGAAAAAAAGGAAAACACTGTGGCCCAAAGGCCATGAAATGCAAGAGGTATTATTCCTGTTTATTAGTTTCCCTCTGCAGTTCGACTTGTGTAAGGAGGAAGAGAAAGACGCTCTCCAACCTGGAAGCAACACTGTCACTTCCTTCAGGCAGGTATAGCTCAAAGGTTTGTTTTGAGACATATGAGAAGGCAAGGCAGTGCTACAGTTGCTGCCCTGAGCATTTTGGATGAAAGCATGGGATTAAAAATGTATTTAAATGTGTCCTTCAGCAAATGTGTTATTCTAAGGTATTCTCTTCATCATAGAATCATAGCATTGTAGAATTGGAAGGAATGCCCCCTGCGAAGCGCGGGAATCGGTTCCCGATCACAATCCCTCCCCTCCGGGAGGACGAGAGGCTTTGTAGAATTGGAAGGAATCCCCAAGGAACCACAGCTAAAGAGTACCTGACAGATGGCCATCCAACCTCTGTTTAGAAGCCTCCAAGGAAGGAGAGTCTACCTACCATCTTCTGAGGTTGCCCATTCTACTGTTGAACAGCTCTTACCTATTGTTTAGTTGGAACATCCTTCCTTGAAATTTGAATCCATTGGTTTGCATTCTGCCCTCTGGAGCTGCAGAAAACAAGCTTGCTCCATCTCCCATGTGCCAGCCCTCTAGCTATTTGAAGAGGGATGTCATATCTGCCCTCAATCTTCTCTTCTGCAAGTGAAACATACACAGCTCCTTCAACCGTTCCTCATAAGGCTTGGTTTCCAGATACTTTACCATCTTGGTTCCACTCCTCTGCGCACATTCTACCTTGTCCCTACCATCAATTGTGAATCAGAGGCAAGGACTTTCCTCCAGCATCACTGCTTAAAGTTGAATAGAAACCTTTAAAAAGTTCCTTTCTTCTTCACCCAAATCTCAATTCCATCATTGGTTTTTGTGAAAACGAGAAAAGCCACTCACATTTTTATTACTATTTTTTGAGAAAAGGTCTCTGATATTCCTTACGGCAACCATAAAAACCTGAAACTTCTTACATGTTACTTTATTTACATTGTTTCCTCCTATTTAGCCTTTTAACATGACAAGCAGTGGCCCAGTATTCCTCTTTAAAAATTGAGGCACCTGCTGTAAAAATATTATGGGTAAAAATATAAAATCCAGTAGATTAAAAATGGACCCTTCCCCCCATTCCGTCCCCCCCCCCCCTCAATTTCCTTCCTGAACCTAATTCAAGCCAGTGGACATAGGGCACTATAAGTCAATGTGGCACCTTCCATGAATTGATAGACTCCAATTCTCATCGTCCTTCACCATTGACCATGTTGGCTGGGGCTAAGGATGGACCATAACAGATGAGTGTTGCAGTCAAGCATTGCACAAGAGGAATCATGATCTGCTGCAGTGGCAATGAAGTCTGCAGGGAGTGTCCTTGACAGAGGTAGGAGAAATGGGTATGCTTGATCAGGGGATCCTGGACTCCTTAATTTCCTTTTCACATTATTATTGGTTTCTTTTTACATCATCTGACACAATACATCTTTTGCATGACATGAATAGTTGAGCTGCCCATCCCGCCCCCGCCCCGTGTGCATTTGCTAGGGATGGAATAATCTCTCAATTTCAGTTTCTCTCCATTTCTCTTTTTCCCAGCTTTAAGTTTCTACCTCAATTCGCTTTTTTAAAAAGTCCTCATTGAAATTGATCAGCATTTTAGTGCAAATTTCTTCTAATGTGTACATTTTAGCAAAGAAATTTCCCCTGACATAATGCATTTTGTATGTGATTTTCAAAATATATACACTTTGATGCATACCTCAATTGAGTATATACATTTTTGTGGACGTTACCTGGCTGGAGAACTGAATTGCAAAATCCAGAGAAGTGCAATTTTTGAAGGACTGACTACTGTTTTTCAGTTTGTTTTTTGTTTCAGAAAGTGCAAATTAGGTAGGTTTGCCTTTAAATGTGAACCTTGCCTCAGGCGGATAGGAGTTGGAGTCCAGCAACATCTGGAGGGCACCATGTTGGCTAAGCCTGATAAAGAGCTTGAGCTGGGAAACACATGATGAAAGGTGTGAATCTAGAGGCCTCATAAGTTCAAATTAAGTCCCAAATGAAGACTAGACAAGCCAACTGCAACCACACACAATTTATTAACATTCCACTATAGATATAGGGCCAGAGCCCAGGTGGGTCTGCTCTTCCCAGGTAGTACAATCATTGCTACCCTGTTGGTGGATCCTCAAAGCACTCTCTCCAAGGATTTCAATGTTTGGAGAGTGAAAGGTTCAGAGGCTGTGCTGCTGTCTCCTTATTAATGTACTCTGAGGCCACCCTTGATGGCCAGGCCTTCCCAAATCCTAGTCCAATTGGGTTGGGGAAACCAGGGTGGCTTTTTATCAAGAAAAAGAAGAAGAGATTGAAGCAGAGTCAAGAGATGGCCAAGAGTGGGAAGCCACTTTTCAATACCCCCTCTTTAAGCTCCTGAGCCTTTCATTAGGACAGCAATTCCCTGCCCTGCTCCATATCTTCCAACATTTCTCCGATGAAAATAGGGACGTCCCATTCCATAATGATAATTTTACTATTTATACCCTACCATCTGACTGGGTTGCCCCAGCTACTCTGGGTGGCTTCCAACATATATAAAAACACAATAAAACACTAATCATTTTTTAAAAACATCCCTATACAGGGCTGCCTTGAGATGGCTTGTGGGGGTGGTTCAGATAACGCCATACCCTTCAACATTTCTCTGATGAAAATAGGGACATCCTAAGGAAAAGTGGGACACACCTGGATCAAATCAGAAACCTGGATGGCTTCTCTAAATCATGGACTGTTCCTGGAAAATAGGGACACTTGGAGGGTCTGCTGCTCAGCTTCTGCATGTCCTGGCTGGGCAGCAGCAATTTAGGTTCCTGGAGAGGTGGATTGGGGCCACCTTGAAGGGAGAGTCAAGGCAAATGTTGTTCTACCCAAGGCAATCCCCACCACGTCCTTGCAATCCCCACCACGTCCTTGCAATCAAGCACCACTGAGACTACATAAATTCTCCTGCCCAAGAAGCAGAAATGGTATAGGCACCTATTTGCAAATTTTACCCACCTGCCCCATGCAAAAAAAAGAAGAAAAAAGGAAGAGAGCATCTTTGTTTCATTGTCAGCTGCTAAGCTTATAATGTCTGTATTGAGAAAAGTAAAGTAAATTGGCAGGATAGATAAGAACAAAGGATCAAACGTAAGTGTTTATTTAATACAGCTGGAAGATGGCCAAGAGGGAATCTTCACAGAGCAGCTGAGGGCCATGCGCATCTTAGGAAACCTCTAGAGGATTTCTATTTGTGTCTGTGACTTTTCTCATTTCTGCCTGAAAGAGGGAGAAATAAACTCCTTATCATCCTACTTTAGCTGCACCACAAACCACGTGTCAAGTCAGTGGGAACCAGCTAGTGGAAGACTTCCCTACGAATGACCCGCGGATCAAATGTTATTGCTGTATCTTCTCTAATAATAATCTGAGCATTGTTTCACCCATGGCTGGCTTCTGAGCATATATAAGGCTCACCTTAAAAAAACAAACAGGCAAGAAACCTATTACCCCTTTCTGAACTCCAGGGATAGACAGAGAGATAGATAACAACTTCCAGAGGGCTTGCAGTGTTTGCCTGTTAACAGCAAGCACAGAAA